AGCCCAGTATAATTACGGTTGCATGTCGACGATAACGAAATCGCTAAATGATCTGTTGAACCTTGCTTACGTGGTTCGAAGGCACTTTTAAAAAGAATTAATTAGTGAAATGTTCAATATGTCTAATATATTCTAATATATCTGTCTAAATATATCTGTCTAATATATCTATCTAAATCTAATATATCTGTCTAATATATAAAAATTATACACTTCTACATACGTATTGTATTCCTTCCAATGAGGATCGTGTTGTCTCTGATGCCGCGTTAGGGTAGTGCGACGAGTGAACGTTTTCCCGCAACCTGAGTGAGGGCACACATAAGGTCTTTTTCCGGTGTGTGTTCTTCTATGTCTAGCCAAAGAAGATGACTAAAAGTGATCAATTAAAAAAATGTAAGTAAATGCAAGTAAATGTAAGTATTCGACATTATTATTATATAATTACACAATATTATTACTATATAATATTATTACAAATAATTACACAATATCATTACTATATAATTATTATTTAATTACTATTTATTGCTATGTTATTACTATTATTGTCATTATTATATAACTGAACTTTTAAAAAAAACTTACATCACTAAAAGATTTGCCACAATTAATATATTCACAAATGTGAGGGCGTTCTCCTGTGTGGGTACGATAATGAACCGTCAATGCGGATCGTTGAATGAATTGCTTACCACATCCGACCCATTCACAACGATATGGACGTTCACCAGTATGAATCCTTCGGTGACGAGCAAGGTCTGAACGTCTTGAGAATGCTTTACCACAGGCTGGCCAATTGCACTCATAGGGTCGGTCGTTATCTATGATCTGTTCTGAATCTGTACATTCGCTTGAAGTACTTGGAGTTGGACTCGTTGGACCGTAAAGTTGATGAGTTTCTTCATTATTATTCAATAGGGAATGGATATCCATTTTATCCATTATGTATATTATATAAGTCTCGAATATTGAAATGATTTATTGATGAAAACAAATTTGATTTGCTTTTATTCGTTGCAAGAAGGGTTTGTTTTGCAATTAAGGTGTAAAAGTTCGAAATTTGTGTATTGCATAAAAAGATGGGAAAGGAGATTTTCTTTAGCAAAAAATAACTCCTAAGACGTCTCGTTTACAAATAGGATGCAAACGTTGAAAACAATAAAACAAAACGTCAACGAAAAACAATCAAAGTTACAGTCGATATTAATTTTGTTTGAAATTATAAAGGAACTTTGAGGTCGTTGACGTCACTGTACGCATAGGAAGCGGTGAACAGTACTATCAACGAAGGAGTCATAAAAGTTATTTCAAGCTCTATATATCTAAAAAATTTTTTTTTTTTTTTATATTTTTTTTATTTTTTTTATTTTTTTTTTTTGGGATAATAATTTAGGTGCAAATATTTGTCGTTAAACAAACAGGAGAGGGTTTGAAGGGAAACGTGGAACAAAAAAAGAGATTTGTCTTTAAAT